GCTCCACCTGTCTTCAAGGCGCGTTACGTGGCGAGAGGCTTCAGTCAGCGCGAGGGGGTTGACCTTCTCCCCCACCCCGAAGATGACCACTCTTCGGGTGTTACTGCACGTCGCGGCACAGCGCGACTACGAGCTGCATGCGGAGATAAACTCTACAACGGGAGCTATACTACGGGGAAGCACAGTTGTGAGAGGGATTGTAGCGTTCCTTAGGTTCTCTGGTACTTGCGTATTCACGGGGTAAAACGGCAAGAGTTTCACTAGAGAAAGTTCAGAACAATGGTAGCAATAATATTGGCAACAATGACTACATAAGACGCTAGCATGCAAGCAGTTCGATTTCCAGCGCAGCATGGTCGACCGCCTTCCGGCGCAGCAAAGTCCGCACCGCTCCAGTGCTGCAGAAACGCGGCGTGCCAACGTTCCAGGTCGACGACGTGCCAACGCTGCAGCAAGGCGGCTGCACAGCGTTGCACCCGCATGACAGTAGCGCACCCGCTTCGCAGGTGCTCGCAGTTGGTTAGCGTGCTGTGCCCCGTCACGTGCACAACGCAGACGCCAAGCTGACCACGTGCTAATGGCTGCGCCTGATCAGCCACGTCGACCTCGAGATACCGCCTCCGAGGTCGACTTCGCCGGAACCGCCTGGGCGACTGTCACGCACCGCGCAGAACATCGTCGCCCTGGTAACTTGGTCGACCGGGACGACCACGTCGACCACGTGCCCGTCGAACACCACTAGCCGACCTCCCAAGTCGGCTACTCTGCAGGTCGACCATCTCCAGGTCGACCAGGCTGTCCAGGTCGGCGCCACGAAGTCGGCGCCTTCCCTGGTCGGCCTCCTTCTGTCGACCGCAGCGAGACTGGGCCGCCGACTTTGCCAAGTCGTCGGCCACCCAAGGTCGGCGCCCTCCCAAGGTTGGCGCCCCTCAAGGTCGGCGCCCCTCCCAAGGCCGGCGCCCCTCCCAGGTCGGCGTGCCCATACGTCGACCACGGTTGAAATCAGCCGCCGGCGCCCGTCGTTGGCGGCTTCGCAGTGGCCCCCGTGCAGGTCGACCAGGCTTGTCGACCTGCGCGCCCAAGTCGGCGTCGCCCACTGCAGCAGGTCGGCTGCACCTCCCGCACACCCGACCACGAAGTCGGCTCCGCCCAAGCGAGGATGGGGCCAACACACAACTCCCGTTGACACTCCCTTGCCGCGTTCACGCTTGGGCCTCTACCTCTTCAGCAGCTTGCACACCGGGCCGGTCCCGTCGTTGTAGTAGTCCGGCTGGTAAATGTACAACACCCGGTCGAGCTTGCTATGGAGGAAGGCGTTCTTCATGTCGAGCTGCATCAGGTTGAGGTCGAGGACGGCGACGATGCTGAGGAAGATCCTCAGCGTGACGTAGCTGCTCACCGGCGCGTACGTCTTGTCGTAGTCGGCGCCATACACGTGCGTGAAGCCCTTCACGACCAGCCTTGCCTTCTCGCGCTCGACGGTGTCGTCAATGTGGTACTTCGTTATCAGCACCCACCGGTTCTTCTTGATGTTCACCCCGGGGGGCCGCTCGACCAGCACCCACATGCCGTTGGCAACAAGGCTGCGAATCTTCTCGTCCATGGTGGCCTTCACCGCCTTGCCCTTCCAGCTCGCCAATGCCTCCTTCACCGTCATCGTTGCGATGTCCTAGCGGTGCTCGGAGTCGGCGTGCATGTCGGGTCGAGCTCTGGTAGGTCGACGGCGGCGTCTTCGTCATCGAGTAGCGTGGTGTAGGAGGCCGGCGGCAGATACACGTGGTAGGTCAGGAACTCAGGCGGCCTCCGAAGTCGGCCTGAGCATCGCAGCCCAGGCTCTTCGGTGTTGACCTCCACCACGCTCCGCGCCCTCCGACTGCTCCCCTGCATCGGCGCCGGCTTCACTTCCCTCACCGGCCTGCTACTCCAAGGTCGGCTGCCCAGCCGACTTCTCCCCTGTCGTCGGCTCCCCTGCCGACTGCCCGGTCGCCGACGGCTCCTTAGTCAGCTTCACTGCAGGCTTCTCCCCTGTCGTCGGCTTCCCTGCTGACACCTCCTCCACCGACTTTAGCAAAGTCGGCTGCATCTCCTCTGCCCGGTGCTCCCCTGTCGTTGGCGGCTTCTGCCCCATGCCGACTTTCGTGACGTCACGTCGGCCACCGGCGATGCCACCAGTCGGCGCCACAGGCAACGCCCCACTGCTCCCCTCATCGCCGGAGGCCGACGCCGGCGTCAGCCCATGCAGGTCGGCTATGAGGGGTGGGGAGACAGGGGGAGGGGGAGGAGAAAGGACGGCCTCGGCGTCCACATCAGCAGGTTCACCGACCTCGGCGAGCAAGGGGAGAGTTGCCGTCGAGGTGTCCGTCGGCGGGTTGACATGCGTCCGCCCCGACGCCGGCCCGTGCTCTGACTTCCACACCTCCGGCGACATGGTCTCGTAGAACACCACGTCCGACGTGGTGACCACCCTGTTGTCGGTGAGGTTGAGAAGTTCCCAGCCCTTGCTCTCCTCCGACACACCGAGGTGAAGGCCCCACCTGGCCTTCGGAGCCAACTTTACACCGCGCTGCTGCTCAGGTACCAGGAACTGCCATGCAGCCCCCCACACGGGCCAGCGTCAGGTCGGGCTTCTTGCCGGTCAGCAGCTGGTACGGCGTCGTCCCCGACGGCAGCGTCGACCTCTCCAGGCAGTTGCTCACCCAGACGGCCTGCCGCAGGGCGAGGTGCCACCAGTGGTGCTGCACGCCCATGTGCAGTAGCATCGTCCGCACCGACTCGACCACCGTGCGCATCTCCCGCTCGACTATGCCGTTTTGCTGCGGTAAGTACGGGCAGGTCATGTCGTGTACGATGCCCTTGCTGTCCACGAATTCGGTGAACTGCTTTATGAGGAACTCCCCTCCGCGGTCAGTGCGCAGCATCAGCACCGACTTCTTCGTCTGCCGCTCAGCCACCAGCAGCCACTTCTCGAACTCCTGCAGCACGTCGGACTTCTTGGCGACCGGCCTCACCCACACGAAGCGGGTCTTATGGTCCTTCAGCAGCAAGAAGTACAGGCTGCCATCCTTGGCGGCCACCCAGAACGGCCCGCACAGGTCGAGGTGCACGACAGCCAGAGCCTCGTCGGCTTCCGAGCCCTTGTCGGGAAAGGTGTGCTGCGGCAACTTCCCGGCCACGCAGGAGACACACGGCAAGTCGGCCTCGGTCGGTGGCTTGATGTCCAGGCTGGTGGCGACCTCATGCTTTGCCGAGCTCGTGATGGTGTTGACGCCGACGTGTGCAAGCCTCACGTGCCACCTGGCCGGCGTCGACTTCGTCGCCGTGGCGATGGTCCGCAGGGCCACCGTCTCCGTCTTGGCCGTCGTTGACGTCAGTGTGCAGGGTCGCAGGTCGGCGCGGAGTACTCGGCCGGTGTACTTCGCCCGAACAAGCACGTCCCCTGCCGCCGTGACGAGCAGCATCTCGTCGCCGTTGTCCTGCAGCTTCACAACGTTCTCCTGCAGCTGGCCGGTTGACAGCAGGTTCGCCTGCACGCCCGGAACGTAGAGGACGTCGGGGATGAGCACCTGCTTCCCAGCCTCTCCTTGCAGGGCGATGGTCCCGCGGCCCTGGACGGTCTGCAGCGCCTCATTGAAGCCGCGCACGTGCTTGACGTCGCCGCTCAGCCCCAAGTCGACGAAGACCTCCTTCGTCCCCATCATGTGGTGCGAGTAGCCGCTGTCGAGAAGGACCACCGCTGGGTTCGACTGCACAGCTGCCGCCACCGCTTGGAAGCCCTCACCGGCCTCCGGCGCCAGCGAGACGGCCGGCTCCACGACGCCGACCAGCGAGCACGACGCCTCTCCGTCGCCTCGCCCCTTGCCGCCAGAGGAAGTGTCGGCGTCCTTCGCCGACGTCGACTTGGTCGACTGTTTCTCCTTGCGCGGCTTGCTTTCCCGACGTGGGCGACGACCGGCCGACCTCGCGCGGCCTCCCTTGGTGTCGTCGTCGTCGGAATCCTCACGGTCAGGACACTCGAAGGAGAGGTTGTCGGGGTCGCCGCACAGCCAACACTCCCGACGCCGACCTCCGCCTCCACGACCGCCATCCTTAGCCGACTTCGCCTTGTCGGCGTCCTTGGCCGGGGAGAAAGGAGTGTTGGAAGAGAGGGGTTGGGGAGAGAGTAGGGACGGTAGAGAGGAAGGGGGGGAGAGACGAGTGAAGGATGAGGGAGGGCGAGGGTCATCAAGCGCGAGACGTTGGGAGCTTGGATGGAGTAAAGAAAACGAACACCTCCAGAAGGAGGCTGACTGCGGCGCCGGGCATCCGCCGCGCACCGCCGCCGCACGCAAGTGCAAATTTGTTTTCCTCCTTAGCTTAGATCCCATTCATATCTGCCATGCCCCTTCTCAGCAAACTCACCAAACCTGCCCATTTTCTCATGAAATCCGAGCTTCCACAAAACCACCGAAGCAAGCCGCATCTCACCGCACCCGCCAGTTTACCCCCGCTTCCAATCACACAGACCGTAAACTCCAATTAGTGTAGATGGCCTTTTCCGAACCTAAAATTCGGCTACGCCCCTTTTTACTCCAACGTTTTAGAAAACTGATGAGGTCCAACTGTCACCGACATCTTCGCCCACTCTTTCCGCAGTGCGGCATTTTTCTGTCTACTAAGTTATTTCCCACAACTTGAATATAAGGACATGGATTGTTGTCGCCCTGCCCACATGTTCAAGTTGTGGGACAGTTTGGGGATTGTCGGGTGTGGGGGGTAATACTGCCTCACGCCCGACGCTTCCGCGTAACCTCTAATTTTGATCCAAAAGGCTCTTGAGAGATTCTCCACCACATGCTTCGAAAAAACGGCTGGGTTTTTATCTATGGCTCCGCAAGCGTCATTGCGGCATCGGGATAAGGGGAATCAGGGTTGAACGCGCGATCTGTCCACGCGGCATACAGGACTTCCACATTCATGCATTTGAAACCGGCCGATACCTCAGCACTTACGGCAAATTCAGAATGGCCGCTGAGCGGCTCATCGCATCCCAGCCGCCTTTTTGCCTAGCACCCGAAGTGCCTGAGCGACTTCCGTTCGAGATCGGACGGATGTTGGTGTTGTTGCATCATATGCCCGACATCAAAGCAACGGAACACCAACCACTAGAGTTTCGTCATTCGCGTCCATCCATATTTTTGTTAAACAACCCGTTCCTTTCAATAGCCCGTTGAACAGTCCGTTTGACTCCGCGTTCACTGTTCGTCGGATGTTTGAAACATCCAACGGAGGTGTATGTAGTAGGTGAGATTTCCACCTACCTACACGTCCTCAACAGCCGTCAACAGCCGTCAACATCCGTGGACAGCCGTCGACAGCCGTCGACACCCGTCAATATCCCCTCCACTTTGGACTCGCGGCAGTCTCAAGCAGAAGCCTTACTTCCATGCTCTCCATAAATTGAAGCGCAGCTACGCCGAACCCATTCAAAACCGCCGTGCCTCGTGCTTTACTAGTAGTAATGGCTCCTCTTGCTATACAAGTCGCTCCTGTTGCACCTGATGCTGTCACCGTGACAGCCATTGCGCCGACTGCAATGCCCCAGTAGGACGACCCTCAGAAGGACGTGCAGCAGGAGCAGGCCGGGCCGCAGCAGCAGCGCGGGGTGGGCATCGTGCCGTTCCTGGAGGGCAAGCATGTGCTCATCACAGGCGCCACGGGCTTCATCGGGAAAGGTGCGGCTTCATTGGGAAAGCTGCGGCTTCTGTGGTAAAGGCGGCGGTATCACTGTCATGAACGAACAAGTCCTTGGCCCGCCCTTTTCCCCCTTTTCTCCAACCCCCCCTAGTCCTTCTCTTCCCCCTTACTAGTTCTTTCTCCCCCTGCCACGTTACCTCCTACTTTCCCACGTCTCCCTCCCCCCCTTGGCAGTGCTGGTGGAGAAGATCCTTCTCGAGCAGCCGCGCGTGGGGCAGATGTTTTTGCTCATCCAACCCACGGCGCTCGCCACCGCATCGCAGCGCTCCGTGCGCTCAGGCCTGCTGCCTCCTTGCGCTCAGGTGCGCTGCCTCCTCGCGCTCAGGTGTGCTGCCTCTTTGCGCTCAGGTGCGCTGCCTCCTTGCGCTCAGGTGCGCTGCCTCCTTGCGCCCATATGCGCTGCCTCCTTGCGCTCAGGTGCGCTGCCTCTGTGCGCTCAGGTGCGCTGTCTCCTTGCGCTCAGGTGCACTGCCTTCGTGCGCTCAGGTGCGCTGCCTCCTAGCGCTCAGGTGCGCTGCCTCCTTGCGCTCAGGTGCGCTGCCTCCTTGCGCTCAGGTGCGCTGCCTCCTTTCTCCCCCGCGTCTCCACAACCAAGATCTCAGTCCATCGTGCTGCTTCCTGCACCTCCTGCAACATACGCTCCCTCCCCTCCGCTGCTTCCCTCCCACCAGGTGGTCCCCTCACCCCTCTTCTCGCACCTGCGGCAGCGGCACGAGGAGGGATACGAGGCGTTCATGGCGAGCAAGCTCACAGCGGTGGCGGGAAACATGGCAAGCGACGACCTGGACTGGCTGCAGGCGACGCTGCTACTCTGGCGGACTCGGTGCAGCTGATCTTCAACTTCGCCGCCTCCACTGACTTTGAAGCCCGGTATGTCACGCAGCCCGCTCGCTGGAAGCTCGTTGGAAGCTCGCTCCAAGGGTGTGAGCTCTGATGTTTGGAGGGATGCTCTCTGGTTATTCTGCCCTCTTGGGACCTTCCCTACCTACTCATCTGAAATTTGTTTTGTTTGTCTTGCCACGTATCCTTCTGACAGTCAGGTATGACGTGGCACTCAACATCAACACCTTGGGGCCGAGGCGGCTGATAGCCTTTGCCAAGCAGTGCAAGCAGCTGCAGCTGGTGGTGCATGTGTCCACTGGTGAGGCTCAGCTGGTGGTGCATGTGTCCACTGGTGAGGCTCAGCTGCTGGTGCATGTGTCCACTGGTGAGACTCAGCTGCTGGTGCATGTGTCCACTGGTGAGGCTCAGCTGCTGGTGCATGTGTCCACTGGTGGGGCTCAGCTGCTGGTGCATGTGTCCACTGGTGAGGTTCAGCTGCTGGTGCATGTGTCCACTAGCGAGGCTCAGCTGCGCGTGCATGTGTCCACTCGTGAGGCTCAGCTGCTGGTGCATGTGTCCACTGGTGAGGCTAAGGTGCTGGTGCATGTGTCCACTAGTGAGGCTCAGCTGCTGGTGCATGTGTCCACTGGTGAGGCTCGTGGTCCCTTTGATGTTCGTGATCGGCAACGTCGGCTTCCACCTTAACGCACCTATCTGCAGCTGGAGTGTTGACTCGCCGTGGATTGGAAGCTTCGTGCCATCCACCATCGTTGCTGTAAACTGAGTCTCTTCCGAGGACTCCCCAATTTTCTCCAACGTCCCACGGTCACACACCGAGTGGGACGCACCACTGCCTTGAGGAGTAGTGGCTGCTGCTGCTCCGAGTAGTGGCTGCTCCGAGTAGTGGGACGCACCAATGCCTTGAGGCGTCGCCCTTTGCAGAGCACCTCGAGGAGTAGTGGCTGCTGCTGCTCCGAGTAACCGAAGATGGACTCATTAATAGGGTCATATGGTACATCAAAATAATCATTCCTATTCCCTACTCCCGAAGCTGCATTTTCTATTTCCAACTTCACCTGGGGGGTAGAAGGTTTTTTCCGAAGCCGATAGAGCTTCTCCTAGGCCTGGAACCTTCCCCGAAGCCTTTGCAGCTGTGTAGGCTTCACTTGTGGGAAATGGGGGGCCTTAACACTGCGCTGCTGGGAGAGAATATTAACTCCTCGGAACGCTCGACCATTTTCAACGCTCCGGAGTACTTTTTGTCAAACATTTATACTATAGTCCTTCTAGGCTGTAGTGGGGTAGACACTATGGGGTACAGTTTCCTAGGGTTTCATATTTGTACCCAACTCATTTCCTAGTCAATCATTCCTCGTATTATTCTCACATGGTATAGAGCGGGTTCCCTAGTGGGACCGTTTTTTTTCCTAAGGGCCCACCACTCGATTTTTTTTTTTTCCTTACCTGCCCGAAGCGCGCTTCGCGCCTGCCCTTAAGCGCCCCGTCGCGCCCTGTCACGGCCCCTTCACGGCCTCTTTGCGCCCTTCGCGGCCCCTCTTACGGCCCTTGCGGCCCCTTCGCGGCCCTTCGCGGCCTCTCTCGCGGCCCCTCGCGGCCCCTTCGCGGTCCTTCGCGGCCCCTCTCGCGGCCCTTCGCGGCCCCCTCGCCGCCCTTCGCGGCCCCTTCGTGGCCCTTCGCGGCCCCCTCACGGCTCTTTGCGGCCCCTTCGCGGCCTTCGCGGCCCACCTTCGCGGCCCTTCGCGGCTCTTCGCCGCCCCGTCGTCGCCGCCCCTGCCGCCATTGTCGCGGCCACCTACCCTGCAGCAGCTGCCGTCGCCGGCTCCGCGCGTCGACCCGCCGCTGCGGCCCCGCCCTGCCCCTCTCGCCGGTCGCGGCCTCCACCTGCAGCAGCCGCCGAGGAGCCCTGCAGCAGCTGCTGTCCCTGCCGCCGCAGCCGAGCCTGCCTCCGCCGGTCCGCCGCCGCCGCCGCTGCCGTCGCTACTGCCCCGGCCCTGCCCTGCAGCCGAGCCGCGGCCCTGCCCTGCCGCCCAGTTGCGGCCCCGACCCTGCCGGCGCACCACGGCCCTGCCCCTCCAGTCGCGGCCACCATACCCACCCGCCCCTGGTAAGCACACCACCGAGCCGCGCCGCCCTGCCGAGCCGCGCCGCCCTGCCGAGTCGCGCCCTTTAGCCGAGTCGCGCTGCCGCTACTGCTACTAGCATGCTGCTGCTGCTGTCATGGCTAGTCCCAATGTGCTTACCTTCGATGCTGAGGGTCGAGCTGTCGACTTTGAGGTCTGGATCAATGATCTGCAGCTTTTCCTCCAGTGCGACAGCAAGGATGGTATCTCACTGTTTGATCTCACTTCTGGCGCCCGTGCTGCCCCTGCTGCCAATGCTGACAGTACTGTTCGCTCACAGTGGACCACGCGCGATGCTGCTGCCCGTCTTGCTATCCGTAGTCACCTGCCGTCTGCTGAGCGCGCACACTTTAGCCAGTACAAGACTGCTAGCACTCTGTACACTGCTGTTGTTGCGCGCTACTCCTCCCCTGCCACTGCTGCCCTTAGCCGCCTCATGCTACCGTACCTTTTCCCTGACCTAGCCGCTTTTGCCACAGTCGCTGACCTCATTACGCACCTCCGCAATAGTGACACCCGCTACCGCGCCGTGCTCCCTGCTGAGTTCTGCGCCAAGAACCCCCCCCCTATGTACATCACTCTCTACTACCTCGTCACCCGGCTCCCTGACTCCCTTTGCTCGGTCAGGGACCACTTCCTCTCCCTTTGCCCCACCACGCTCACCGTTGACCTCCTCGAGGAGCGCCTCCTTGCAGCTGAGAAGAGTATAGTCGCTGTAGGAGCCTCTCGTGGTGACCCTCGTGCCCCTTTCTTTGAGGGGTGCTCCCCCGTCCCTCTTTTGCCCTCTGTTGCCTCTGCTGCTGCAGTCGACCTCGTTGGCACCGAGTCGGTCGGCGCTGCGTCTGCCCCTAGTGGGAAGCGCCGCTGGGGCAAGGGCAAGGGGGGCAAGGGGGGTGGAGGGGATAGCGGGGGCGGCAGTGGTGGCGGTGGAGGAGGCGGAGGGGGTGGGGGTGGAGGTGGGAGTGGTGGCGGGAGTGGGGGCTCCGGTGGCGGCGGTGGAGGTGGAGGCGGCGGAGGCAGCGGGAGTGGGGGTGGAGGTGGCGGCGGCGGCGGAGGAGGTGGGGGTGGCGGGGGCGGTGGTGGGCAGCGGGGAGGCTCCAGCGGTGGCCAGCGCCAGCAGCAGCAGCGCTCCCGTGAGACCCCGTCGCCTCAGCAACTTCGTGAGTGGTACGCTGGGCGTGGGAGGTCTGGGGGTGCTGGTCCCTGCACCTACGTTCTTCGCACCAGCGACCGCACTGGAGAGACGTGCGGCGGCCCGCACACCACACCACGCTGCTTCGGCCGCCTGACTGACGCCTGGCGTACACAGTTCCCTGGCTCCACTGAGATCCCTCGCTGGGATATTCTGCTTAAGTCGGGGGTTGCTATCTTTGATCTTGACTATGATGCTATCCTTGCTGCTATGTATGCTGTGTCTATTAGTGCTGAGGGTGACTGTTACCTGTGTGTTCCGCCCGACCCGGGCATTGAGGCTGCTGCTCTAGGTGCTAGTGAGTCTGCTGCTCCAGGTGCTGGTGAGGCTGCTCTCTCAGGTACCGCGTCGGCTCAGGTCTTGCACACGTTCACCCTTGACTCGGGTGCTTCCCGCTCCTTCTTTCGCGACTGCACCACACTCTCGCCGCTCAGTCGGCCAGTGGCACTCTCTCTGGCTGACCCCTCTGGCGTCGCTCAGACGGGCGAAGCAGCGGGACTGGGTGTGACCAAGTGTCCCGCAAGCCTGACCAGCCCGATCACCTGTGCGAAGGACGTACGGGCAGCGAACGGTACTCGGAGACCCTCGACTCTGAGCGTACCACTCGTGAAGCTGCCGGGACGTAAGTGTCTCGCGCGGACGACACTGCAGCTGCAGCTCGCCACTGCCAGACACTCCCGACCGACCAGCTCCAGGGCGACAGCCACGACGGCTACCGCCACAACCCCAACTAGCGTACCACTCACGAAGCTGCTGAGGCGTGAGAGACTCGCGCGGACGTCGCTGGAGCTGCATCTGGCCACCGCCAGTAGCAACAGTAGCAATAGTAGCAGCAGCAGCTCGGGCAGGGCAGGCGCTGCAGGCGCGGCAGGCAGGCAGGCAGGTAGGCAGGCAAGCAGAGGGCGCGGCAGTGCGCGAACAAGGCAGGTGCTCACCAGTGGCGGGCAGGGCCGGCGCTCGGCGGGCGGCGGCAGGGTAGGCGCACGACGGCGGCGACGGCGGGGCCGCAGCAGCGGCTGCAGAGTAGGGCCGCGGCAGCTGCAGGGCGGGGCCGCGTCAGCGGCAGGTCGGGGCCGCGGCAGCTGCAGGGCTGGGCCGCGTCAGCGGCAGGTCGGGGCCGCGTCAGCTGCAGGGCTGGCGGGGCCGTCAGCGTCCGGGCGGGGCCGCGTCGGCGGCAAGGCGCGGCCGCGTCAGAAGCAGGGCGCGGCCACGTCAGGGGCGGGGCGGGGCCGCGTCGGCAACAGGGCGCGGCCGCGTCAGAGGCAGGTCGCGGCCGCGTCAGAGGCAGGTGGGTCGCGGCGCGCGGGGCTGCAGCGCGACGCGCGAGCAGCGGTCGCGGCGCGCGGGGCTGCAGCGCGACGCGCGGGCAGCGGTCGCGGCGCGCGGGGCTGCAGCGCGACGCGCGGGCTGCAGACGCGGCGCGCGGAGCAGCAGCGAGCCTCGCGCGGGCTGCCGAGGCGCGACTCGGGCAGGGTGGGCGCGACTCGGGCAAAAAATCGAGCCGCGCGCAGGAATTAGGTCCGCGCGCTCTAAGCAGCAGCAGACCGCGCAGTCAGCAGACAGTAGGCAGCAGGCAGACGGCGCGCGCAGCGCAGCACGTCACAGGCACAGTCACAGTCACAGTCGTGGGGTAGCGGTAGGTGGGCCCAAAGAAAAAAACGGTCCTACGGACCTACTGTTCTGAAACCATGTCAGAATCTAGAGACAGGAATGAATGAACTATGAAAGAGTTGGGTACAAGTATGAAACCCTAAAAGGGGCTGTACCCCATATTGGCTACCCCACTACAGCCTACACATATATAACATGCATATGCTTTGACAGTATCGCACCAGTCCCTACTGAATCAGCGCTAGCGGCAGTATCGGATCAGCCCGTATCAAGGGCAGGAAGGTCAACAGTCGCAAGAGTCAACTGTCGCGACTGTTGACCATCTGGACCGACGATTGACCTACCATCGAGGAATGGCAACAGGCGTAACCGTGCGTACGGTTACACGCAGCGACTCGGTAACAAGAAGAAGTGCAACAGTCAGAGTCACTGTATAATTGCCTGTAAAGCAGTTAGAATAAGGGAATGTACCCCCTCAGAGTACATGGCTAGTAAGATCTATTTGTTGTGTGTAATGTTATGTTTTAATCAACTTTGTCATCTACATTCACTATGATCAGAGTTCCTACAACAAAGACTTCCGCTACCAAACTCTTCTAGGCACTTCTACTCTATCCAAGATCCTTACTCTAACATGGTATGAGAGCTAGTTTGGATTATAGGAGTTGCCAACAGAGGTCTTTTCAGAAGACAAACTCTACTATAACTTATCTTTACAATAAAGGACGGGCATCATGCCAGGCGCAGATTGCGGAGAGGCT